TCTCTCTCTCTCTCTCTCCCTCCACTCACTTACTTTCATGAAAATCTCCTGAACACTTTTATTAATATGCTATCATCTCGTTTCAACTTCGTTTAATCTCTTTGTTGTATTTAGCATAAACATTTTGATTTATTACCAGGTCAATTTCGTCTTCTTCGTCAATATCATCCGGGTGCTGTTTACTAAACTAGTCCGAACAGCGCCACCCCGTGCCCGGAAGTATCGATACAGGTAAGATAACACGGATGTGGCCATAACGGTTTCTTTATTGCTTTCCTAGAATTTCTTGCTTAAAAAACCTGGAATACAAAGAGCCTTGCTATTCGGGGATCCATGCTATTAAGTTCTAAATAATTATACGATTTAAGTGTCAAACATACTTTTTAAACCAAACTACCGGGCATAACAGAAGGTTACACGCACATAATATGATGCGCAGAATTATTTTTAATGTAAGAACGGAGACATAACTTTAAGAGAAAACAATTTAAGACTTTACTGTAGAACAACATTTTTTTGGTACCGTTAAACGTAGCAATAACAGGAAGCTAATGTTATCCCCTCACCAAATGCGCTGGAAGGGATCTTTCTCTCCGCCCTCCTGATGCCCCGGTCATTTTCATCAACGTGAGCGGTCTTCGGAGGTTCTGGGGGCGAGACATCAAATAAAAAAGCAGGCCTATCAAGATCGACGTGGGATGTTTGAGCGATTAAACAGATGAGAGCTCAAGTCGGTTTTTCTTAGTCCAATCTCAGACCAGATTACGTGTAGATTTTGCGAGATTGGCGGGAGGTTGGAGCGGGAGATCAGATCCTCCTTCATACTTCCGTTTGTCGCGGGCGTGTCACAGTGTGTCCGTCAGTGTGTCTGTCGGTGTGTCCGTCGGTTTGTCGGTCGATGTGTCTGTCGGTTTGTCCGTCGGTGTGTCTGTCGGTGTGTCCGTCAGTGCGTCTGTCGGTGTGTCCGTCAGTGTGTCTGTCGGTGTGTCTGTCAGTGTGTATGCCAGTACGTAGGCGTGTAACTCAAGACGAGCGTCACGTGCGTGATGGATGCGTAACGTTACCCCAGTGCTGACTTAATTTCATCAAATAGTATCAGTTGCAACCACTTTAGAGGAGAGATTTGTTGGGGGTTTTTTGGTTATATTTTGTTTTGTTTTTTTCTGTGTTGTTTTGTTTTGTTTGTTTGTTTGTTGTTGTTGTTTGTTTTTTTTGTTTTTTTTGGGGGGGGTATTTTGGTGGGTGTTGGGGTGGAGGGTTGGGGATATTTGTTTTTATTGTTTTGTTGTTGGGGGAGGGGGGTTGTTAATTTTTCTTTCAATATTTTTTGTCAAAAAGAGGAAGGAAAGGGGAGGGAGAGACAGAGAAAGAGACAGAGACAGAGAGATAGAGAGAGAAAGACAGAGAGAGAGAGAGAGATTGAGAGAGAGAAAGAGAGAGAGAGAGAGAGGAAAAGAGAGAGAGAGAGAGAGAGAGAGAGAGAGAGAGACTGAGACAAAGACAGAGAGAGAGAGAGATCCGGATGGGATGAGGATCACAAAGACACAGAAGGAGAAAAAGAAACGGGGTTGGGGGGAAGGGGGGCACAGATTGAGGGAGAAGATGCAGAGGGTTTTCATTTCTGATGAAAATAAGTTTTCAACTTTTTACTGATTGTTTTAAAAGCCTTATAAGCTAGCATGTCAGACATTGCTATAACTTAAGAGCCCCTTGTGACCACTATATTTTCTTAACCTTTTGAATTTTGATGTAGTTAGACATCTAGATCTATAAGATGTTGAAAAACTAAATTGAAATATTTCCGAGTCCATAAATGTTAGAGCTGATTTGTTAGCACAGAGACTAAAAATATGTGAATCTCCAAGTGTGAATGGCGCCCCGGATAACAGAGTTCTGACGTCACACGCGCGTGTTATTTCATCGTTTTTTTTGTTGAACTCCTTCCAGCACCTCCAACATTTCTGTTTCCTTGTGACAGTAGGGGGGCAATTCGTTTCCGAGAATAGTTTTTCTTTGACGACAAAGAAGCGACCTTCATTTGCTTCCGCCTTCGCGTATAAAAATGTCGATCACTTGACGCGAATGCGCGCGCGCGCGAGTATGTGTGTGTGTGG